TCGCGTCGCAGGCGTTGCCGACGGCGCAGCGCTCGAGGTCGCCGCAGGCGCCGCGCGTCGTCGCGCAGCACGGCTCCGCGATCGCGCCGGCGTCGTAGTAGAGCGCCGCGAGCGCCGACGCGGAGAAGCCGAAGGGCGCCGTCGTCGCGTTGGGGTCCGGCGGCGCGACGGTTTCCGGGGAGCGCAGGAGCGCGTCCCAGAAGTCCTCGGCGCCCGCCGCGCTCGCGGAGCCGCCGAGCAGGGCCGCCGCGTCCGTCCACGTGAGCCCGAGCTGGTCCACGAAGACGCGCCGGAGCTCGCCGCAGGCGCCCGACGCCGGCAGCCGGTCCGCGGCGTCGGGGCAGAACATGGCGTCCCGGCGCCCGAAGCGGAAGGGCGGGTCCCGCGCGCCCGCGGACGCGTTGCGCATCGCGCCGTTCGCCGCGGCGACGATGAAATCGGCCATCGTCAGCGCCGCCTCGCGATTCCGCCAGCTCTCGTAGAGCTGGTAGAGCGCCGAGTTCTGGGACCAGGCGCGCCGCGCCCAGGGGTCGGCCAGCGCGAGGCAGCCGTCGGCGCCGCCGTCGCCGTCGGCGAAGTCGAGGAAGTCGAGCATGGCGAGGCGCACGACGTCGCGGAACCACGACGCCGGATCCGGCTGCGCGCGGCCCGCGGCGCCGACGTCGTCGAGGAGCTCGGCGTAGTCGCGCTCGCACCACGCGCCGCCGCGCGCGAGGAGAACGCTCCAGGCGATCCGGCGGAGGGCTGCTGCGATCATCGTCATCGCATCGTTTTTCAGCTGTTCAACTTTGCAAGTTTACTTTTCACGCCGAATGGCACTTCGAATGGCCATCATTCGGCCGTACTTCGGCCGTACTTCGGCGACCCCCTGCGCAGCCGGGGGCTTTACCATCCCCGGGGACGCTACGCCGCGGCGGGCACGAGGAGCGCCTCGGCGGGCGCGGCGTTGTCGTTGGGCCCGTCGGGCTTCGCCGCGGGCGCGTCGAAGGGCGGCAGCGGCGCCCGGTCCCGGAGCTTGTCCACGAGCAACGAGACCTGCTCGTAGCCCACGCGCATGAGGAAGGCGGAGTTGCGGCCGTAGGACTTCATGCCGAGGATGAAGAAGTCCGGCTCGGGGTTGAGGAGCGTGCCGACGCCCGGCGCGGCCTGCTTGAGGCAGTCGCCGCCGCCGCCGGGGGATCCTCA